AATTGAAAATTTATTACGTATGAAAATGCGATTTGGAAAAAATTAAACAGAAACAGCAAGTTAAAGAAAAACTTGTCTTGTTGCTGTTCTATTTGGTTTGCGGTGAATTTAGTGCTGCTAACCAATTTGCTCGAAATGTATTCTTCTTAAATATAATTAAGTGATTTTTATTATATATTACCCAATTTATTGCATATCATTCATTCATGGTTCGCATATCATTTTGTGACATTTAGTAAATTTATTTGAATTAAAGAATAATACGTTTTTCGCATGAGCTAGACCTGCATTTTTTTAGCTCCTAAAACCCCACACATATCTAATTCTCCAATTTAAACGAAAGTGGGTCTTTCCTATCCGGAATCAATCAATTACATATTTGAAATAATTTTATTGCAATCCTATAGTCTTATAGTATTATCCATCTTATAGTATTATAAGGCTATTGCAAATTCTCTAGCCGATGAAAGCAGCGAACAAACAAAAACCATGATAGAAAAATGTAGAAAAAATATTTAGAGAAAACTGCAAATATATTTAAGTACTTTTTTATGGTTGGTTTGTCGTTATTGGTACACCGATCTCGTATTTGAATGGTAAATCCTGTATACAAACATAAGGAAAGCTCAAACGAAATACAAACCAATTTCGCTGAGACACGTTTGACACACGGGCACAGAAAAATGAATTGAAATTCCAAATTCTAGCAGCTGCTTGTTAGGAAATAGCGTCCTTTTCGAGAAATCCATCAAAAGGCGTTGAAGTTAAAAAAAAGCAATGGGCGATATGGCATATTTGCAGGTAGCAAAACTTTTGGTAGGTAAATAAACCAACTACGTGCATTAGAGCCAATTTTTGTACATACGATTCACCTACTTTCCGTTTAGCTGTTGCAATTCATTACAGATGAACAACAAAGAAATAAGGTTGGCAAAAAGTTTATGATAACACATTTTGCTAGCTGTGCACTTTGATATGGAATGATGTTTTGGGGTCGAAATGGTAGATTTCAAGATGTGTTTGTAGCGCGGAAGCGAGTAAGGGTAATTAAAAAAAAATATTTTCGGGATTCATGTAAAAATGTTCTCAGATCACTGGTAACAATAACAGTAGGTACATACTTGTGTGAGTATGTCTAAATTTCATAAAAGTTGAACGGACTTTTTTTGATCCTTCCCAGGACTACATAATTTAATTATTGATAGGCCCAATCGTAATCTCCATGTGTCTTCCGTTTGAAACATAAACAAATGAACTTTAAATTTTCTCATTTTTTTAGTTAGCGAACGTATCCAGGAATTTTAGATTTAGGGAGATTTAATGAGAGATATTTCCCATATGATTCAATTTCAACTGAGCTTTATACGTGGCGATAAGTAGAAAAGGTGAGGATAGAAATATCATCAAATGACAATAAACTATCCTATGGACGAAATTCGCTTCTCCCCTAAAATGTTCCTCTCTGTGACCCTCCCAAAACAGAAAAAAAAGAACGTAAGGCTTTAAGGGTAAATAAACTGATTTGTGTGTGCGCGCCTTGTGTGACTAAAAAAAACTTTATTTTGCATCAGGAGAGCAGAATATTCAAGAAGGTAATAACAAAAATTTATCAGAAATTAAAAATAGACATTAATCATATATAACGGAACCCCAAAACTACTGTGTGTCTTTACTAAAAACCGATTTGCACCAGGAGTGCAAAATATGTAATAATGTGGCGACAAGACGAACAAGTAACATTAGACAAATAGAGATTAATCGCAACTCATTTCTCGAACAGGAGTATATTTAGTAGTAAAATATAATCATCACTGATGAAAACAGAAAATTATTTATAAGACGTTAATTAAATTTATGAAGCTTCCGAAATTTTAGAAATTCGATCTCAAAATACATTTGAAGCAATGACACAATTCTTGGGCAACTTAGTTCTCTATTTTTGAGTTCGTTATAACTTTTCGTCGAAGGCGTTTTGAAAGGCAAAAAAGTTCCAGCTCGGAAAATTAATAAGGGTCGCCAATTTGCTCAAACTGGATAAAATATATTGAACAAACTGAAAGAAAAGATGTTAAAAACTACTATTTTGAATTTGTGCAAATCTTCGATTGAACGAAAAAATGATGCAAGTGTTATGAAGATAATACATATTTGAAACAGTTTTGAGAAGTAGTTTTGCAGCATTTGATATTCGAAACTTAACTGAAACATTTCCTGTAAAATTAAACCTAATTTTTGTACACTTCGTAGACCTTAAAGAAAGAAGAAACACCGAATTAGAGCTTATTTGGTGCAATTTATACACTCGTTGCACAATTAAATCATTCTAATTATCCATGAAAAATATTCTTTGTTTTGCATACAAGATTTTTAAATGTCATAYTTTTCGCCCGGCTGSTGCCTCAAAATAGGTACTCAAGGTGCTAATCAAGTTAGTTGAGRGGCATATTTTTCGATTAWARCACTCACTGTATATCTTAGTGTTTTGGATTATCTGCACTGTTTTCTTACATGAAGTTTCCTTCCTACAGAGAGTTGTTGACCCAATTTAATATTTATTATTTTCTCATGGTGATCACGATGAATGATTATGACATTCTACTCCGTCTTTTTTTGGTCCATCAATCATATTTGAGCTCATCTTATAAAACGTACCTAATATCAGACCGGGCCCTACCGCGATGCCTCTCTTTCTATTAACTATTCAAATATTCGCACATTTTTATCCTTTCATTTACTAAGGTTTCATTATCATCCAAATTTGACGGCATTATTTCTGCGGATGCTTCGCTGGTAACAAAATCTAATACTATCGCAGCATTATTTCAATCGACACCCAAGAGTACATAAAATCGGCAAAACTCCCTGAATCCGTTTAGCCTAACCGGGTTATTTAAAATGTCATTTAGAAAGTTATTACGTCCATTTAAAGCGAATGATCGCCCAGCTACAACCGTTTCGGTCCTTTTTATTGGGCTTTTTCACTTCCTTTATGACATTTATGATGAAGTCGATTTCGAATTGGGTTGCTGAATAGCGATTCGAGAAAAAAGTTAACATATTTGCTCCTTTTCTGTGAGACTGTGAGATTTGATTCAAGTGCATTCATGTGTGCCAAACGTTTCAAATGAAATCGTTCGTCATTGAACCGAAATAATTTAATGACGGACTTTTAGAATAATTTTATTATTAACTTCCGATGATAAATTGTCTTGTGCATGACTGGGCAATGTGAATTGAAAAAGGCCAATGACGCTACGGATAAGTGGGATAAAATTTCGAAATAAATGTATAAATATAACTTTTGTAAAACGGCATATTCTTTGGAATAAAATAGATCGGTTGGATTTAACTACGAATTTATTTTTCATTTTTGTTCTAATTTCTCAATTATTTTTCTTCTTATAATACAGGATGTCCCGTAAGCACCTGATCAAAAGGATGCTACGATATTCTTTGCATCAAAAGAAGACGATCTGACCTAACTTTTATTAACAAAAAATATCGGGCTCCTCTGCTATTGATTATCAAAGTTCTTCAAAAAATATGTTTTTTTTTATATCGAGAATGGTATGATGTATTTTAGTAAAAATCGCTCTAAATTTGTTCTTATGTAAGACTTATGTTGTGATGAAATTATCGAGTTGATCCGTTTTGGGCAAGTACATTACAGTAAGGTATTTTAGAAATTTCGTCGTCCACATCAAAGAACCCTTAACTTATTTTTTGACACAAAATTTTGCCTTTCCGAAAACAAAATCCTGTGGTTCATTTGAATTCGACTGGAAAGAGAGTTTTTGGTAAAACCATTTTCGTCAAACGGAGTTACTTTTTCAACCATTAGCAAAGGTGAGTTTCTGGAGGAAATCAAGACTTCAGAGCTTATTTTAAGAAATTCCCATATTACACATTCAAGAATGCAATTTTCGACTGGCAGCTTTCGAATTTTGCGTTGAAGGTTGGCGAACTGAACAGCGATTTTCGAAATAAATTGACAAATTTTGAGCGGCGAAAATCCAAAATACGAAAGCCATTATATCCAGAAAGACTCACTGTTTGATGTGCTTTTTTATGTTCTGGTGGAATGAAAGTGGTCGAAAATTGGACCTTTGGAAAATAACGGCATACAATTATCTTTTTAATAAAGCCAATGCTATGACCTTAACATGAATTTTACGAGTTTTAGTTCATTTTAATGTTAGATTTTTCTAAAAAACTCATTAAAATCATGTTTAAAAGCCGCGATCATTTTGAATAAATTTCTATAAAGCTTTATAAACTCTTCTGAATTGGCTTTTCTTTGCATCAAATATATATGTAGTCGACACACCTTTAATGGATTAATAGACCATGTTTCAGGTTGCAAATTGCATTTATCTTTAATAACTTGGCCACAAGAACTTGGAATTAATGAAACGTTTACAAGCTACAATTCAAAAGTTGCGTGTTATAATCAGTAACAACTTATACTTTTTTGGAAAACTTCCCAAATCTTACGGTACAGATAGATATAGACGGTACTAACTGTATCCCTAAAATATAAAATACTTTGACAAAAAAAACTGCAAATTAAAGAGCGCAATTTGGGACTGTAAAAGCGACCAAATGACAAAGTGCAGCGGTATTTCCGCGAAACTGAGTTCAAAAGTATACCGATAAAAATACAGGAAAAACCGCACGATAGTTTTATGGAGTAATATCTCCGGGAGATTGTCAGTCTCTATAACATTTGTCACGACAGAGTGTGTGAAACAAAGAGAAATAAAGATAAATGGCTGAAACGTTGAACAGGTCCAGACATCATGAATTTTTTCGAATTATTTTCGTCGACGAGAAGTTGGATATCATGTAAGTCAATGTAAAGATGAGTAATGGATGAATGGGGACGGGAGCTGTATTATGGAACAGGATTTCTCGTATGCATTTTTAAGCAACAGCACTGAAGCTGGCCGACTATTTAAAAATAAAGCTGAGGTACCACTAAATATTTTTTCTTGTTTCAGATATACAGAGCGGATCAATGCGAGTTCTGCCTTTGCCTGGACGGCGAAATGTTTTGTTGGTGGCAGGATTGTCCACCTCCTTTGGAGGGTCCCTGCAAAAGTCAAGAACCATTCTCGGCTTGCAGTACGTAATTTGATAAACCTATTTTCTTTTATTGAGAAATTTTAGATATACGTTAAAATTCCACAAAATACATGAAAGGAAAATAACTCCACCATTAGTTAAGCGCAAATCACAGTTTAGGAAAGAAAACTAGTCTAAATGTTTTAAAAAATCATTAAATTTTCTCCAAATTTTTGAATTTTTACCACAAAAAAAACACAATTACTTTACAATAAAAATTACCTCAACAGAATAAAGTATCAACAAATGCTAAGCAATAATAGACAATAGATGACAAAAAATATTGAGAAAAGTGGGTGAGCTTACAATAAGATGGCCCAAACGAAGGAAATGAGGTATAACAAGGATAGAAAAAATTCGAAAAAGCAAATTAGTGGACAAGAGAAGTGAAAACAAGATCAACGCTGAACGATATAGAGGGATATAGAAGCAGAAGATATAGGAAAATTGCTAACATATATAAAAAAAATGAGAAAAGTCACAGAAAAGAAAGGGAACTCGATACTAACCGTAAAGAGTTAGTAGTTAAAACTAGTAGAGTTAAAACTCTATACGAAAATGTGTCCCTTAATTATAAACAGGTAGCTAATACTATTGATGTGAAAGAACCAAAAATATTAAAAGAGATGCAAGAAAATACTGAAAGCCTTAGAGATATGCAACTAAAAATAATTAATTACCTGTCGACTAAAAAAAATTGTTAAGAACCACCTCAGAAACTTAATAATACGTACTCTATTTGCTTAAGATACTAAAGCCTAAAAGAGTATTCATCAAGGTAAATTTAATTTAAACAATCTACAAACTCGTTAGTTTTCGAGAGTTTAAAAGGGTGTCTTCTTTCAAGCCAATGCTCAAAGGAAACCACAAATTCTACTTCTAGTTTTAGTAATAAAATGATAATTTGATATTGCCAAAAAAACGGCTAATGTTTGAAAAATCGTTCGTATAGTTCATAAACTGGTGTAAAATATTCATGTTTTCTTTTTTTTTAAGTTGATGATGACAGGTCAAAAACAAAATACTGTATTGCAAATTTTATACTAATAAAAACGTGTTCTAATAACGTGACATTAATTTTAAAACGTATTTTCAATTATCGGCAAAAATTGCACATACTGTGAGCAAATGTCGATTTCTTTCGAAGATTTCTGTAGTAGCAATTTACAATTTTTGTACATTTTTGTTTTACAGTAAAATGTGCCAGTTTTCTCTGATTTAAGCGCCTTCGTTTCTGTTGTAGTTTATAACATCCCAAAACAAACACCTGAATTTTATAACGCTCTGTTTAGGACCAATGAATACGTAATCGATATAATATTATATATAAGAAGATATTTAATTTTTGAACAAACAAAATATTTAAAAAATTAAATATTTACACGAGAGACATGTGCTTGGAAACGACAAACACGACCTGTAATATACACTGAACCTTCAAAACTTAAATAACACATTGTATACCACCACACGCGCAATATCAGAGTCATCAACAAGTGAGAAATTTATGTAAATCAATACCTCAATTTCCTGTCTATTTCGGTTACTTTTTTAATACGGTGTACGAGAAAATCTTAATAAATCCAGCTCACGAAAAACTTCTTTAAACCGGTTTCATTTTGAAGCATTTGCATTGAAACAATCCATTGTAATATCGGTAAAATATCGGAGCGAGAACGTAATTCCGAAATGTAAATTTCATCTTATTTTATCCATCGACTTAAAGGCAAAAATCAGCGTACAAACGTTACCAATCAATACTCAGGAAACTCGTTCTATATTCAACGAATTTGCAAGTGAAACAAGAAATTTACATATCAACCTATAACATGTTTCATTATTTTTGTTCGAGCTTCTCGGTCTCGACAGAGACAAATTAGAAACTCTTAGAAGAAACTCAAGCAGGTATTTTTTAGCTGTCACATTCAATGTGTTAGATTGTAAAAGAATCTTAGTTATTTTGCTGGAAAATAACTCTACATGAAGCATTTCTTGCACTTAAACTAACAGAAATGTTATTCAATACAACAATATAAACCACTTGCCGCCAAAACAGAAAAATAAGAGTAGCTTTTAGTTTACTCTGGTTTTTAACAGAAAATACACATTGAGAATGGGAATGTTACAACCACAAACTTCGACATCATCTGCTTTTCGATAATTTTGTTTCACTGTGTGCAACTCAGCTCTTCAAAATAAAGTCTGCAACTTTATAATTTTACGTTAATAGCAAGTTTAAAATTACGTAAAAAATAGGCTCATTTGAGTCTAAGTAAATTACTGATTACCGATGTGAGCAAAATGATATTTAAAACAATTTTAACAATTTTTCCAGCGAGTATTCCTGTAGCAGCGACGTCAAAGCCCAAAATAACACCGCTGCAGCCGCCAACAACAACAGCAAATCCTACAACAAAGAAATTGAACAATCCAAAAAAGTCTTCCAGTTCGACGACAATTCAAACAACGACGACCCAGTGGCCAACTGATACACATGAATCTTCCAGCATCCATAGCGATTCCTATTCCATATCATCAACTGAAGAAAATGGGTCTTCGGACATACAACTCAGTACCGAAAGTGAAAGTACTACAGAGGATGCGAAAAGCTGTATCGTTATGGGTAAGACAATGTTAAATCGATCTTAAAACGAGGTGGCAATAAAGTCAAGTTTTCATCAATTTTAAGACAACAATCTGTAAGACCTTTCCGAATTTGAATAACTGTAACGACAAAGAAACTTGAAATTGAAACTGACTGGACTATTGAAAGCTGGGAATAAAGCAAACAATAGAGAAAAAATTGGAATTTTTGTCCAAAGTGAACTAAGGAAGTACGGCGAATGTAACATTATTCCTGAAATGTACTTTTAAGAAAATTATTTTCCTTTATCTCAATTTGATTACTGAGATTATCTCAATTTGTATTTGAATTATCTGTCGCGTTAAGGCGTGTAATTGCATCTCGAAAAGCATGCAATGAATATCAAGTTTCTTCAGTTAGATTTACTGTTAGACCACAGGATAAGAGTTAATCTGCATCTAGCCTACCTTGCTAACTGGAATCTGATAACTGTTTGATCACGTAACGGATTWAAAAAAAAACGTTTCTAATAAAAAATAAGCATCTTTCCTCCAGGGTTTCTGTAAGCTAGAGTTTATCCGATTGGACCTTAACAATTACAATTYATAAGTTGGACTAACTTTTTATTTTTYTTCWATGCTTTTGAGTACAAGAAGCCTTGAAAATCAATCTATGCGGTTTACGAATATATAATAGCAATACGGTATAGTCAACAAAACAAATTATTACAAGTGAAAAATTAAACACTGGGAAAAACAATGACWTTCACCAAGTATAGTRATCAAMTTCATTGGTTGCATGGTGTTTCTTTGCAAGTCGGAACTAGAGCTTAWTAGATTTCACATTTAATGTAAAATAATGTAAAATCTCATGCAAAAACATGTCGGCAGATTTGTATTTTTGCGTCAAAACATATAAATTATTTTTGCGAGAACAGTTTGAAATAACAGAACATGCTAAAGTAGGGGAGTAAGTAGCAGGAGAACTAATTGTTCAGCGCTCAAATGTAGAGAKCAGCAGAAGCACTTAATATTGAGCTCAAATCAATAAAAGTAATAAGTTCAATAGTTGTGAGTTGACATTAAGCAGAAACCGTTTCTAAAGGCTTTAAAAAGTTTTTAAATTATATTTTATTAGAGAAATGCAATGAAGTACGCCAGGTTAAAAGTCCATATAGGCATAGGTAATCAAGTCCTTATTTACTGAGCTACAAGTATTTAAATTTTGGTTTTATCTAAGTAATTTTTGAGATAACATCGAAATTTAGACAAAACTTGGTATTGGACGGTTTGAGAGATGAGAAAGTTCAATTTGATCTCGGCTTTGCTCTTGCATGTGAAGGGCGGTACTTAACTGCCTTTCTCTCTTTCTCATCATCAATCAAAATGTTTCCAAAACGGTTTTGGAGCATAATTTTTTCCTGACGTCAAAATTTACTTGCTAAAAAGTGTGATATAAACATGCATGAAAAAGCTTTGACCCTTCAACAGAGAAAAATACATATATGTAACTCCACATGTAAGAGCAGAACCACGATTAAATTACAGTTTCGTAGGTTGCAAAACTCTCTGTTTAGGACCATTGTAGTAATATACTCAGTTTTGTTCAAATACGGTAATTATTTCCAAAATTACTGATAAAACAAAAAAATACATATAACACAAAATAAAATTAATCTTTTAACACTCGATAGCTCGACAACTAAGGCCTTGCTAGTCGACGCCATATAGACATTTTATCTTTAAAAAACTTGGGAAATCGCCCTGCGAAAGATGGGATACTTATTAAGAAAAAACCCAGTATAGATCACTCGGTTTCAAAACAATAGTGACTTTCATCGTTATCGGTTGCTAAAATGAAAAAAAAGCTTTTGCGGTGAGTTAATTATGGACTTAATATTTTATGTTAGATAGACGTTAATTCGTTTCATGCTTCTTCATGTCAATACTGTTATTTAACCTCCGATTGAACTTAATTAATTAATTATTGTCGGTCGGTAATTAATTATTGAGGTCGTGTGAAGATTTTCGATGGAGTCAATGAATTAAATTTTCATATTTTAAGTTATTAGCATTACATCGAACGCAATGAGGAATAACTGTTCGAAGCAACAACTTCTAATATGTAATGTATCAGTATTATGTTATGCAAACTGCTTGTTGGGTAATTCGACTCAAAAATTTTCCTCTTTAAAAAGACAGAATTTCCTCACGTCTTTTATTACAGATTGATAAATAGTGCTCTTATTTCGCAATAAGAACGAATTAAATTAATAAAGACTTGAGGACRTTCGGTCTTTTTTAAAGAGAAAGAACTTTTTTGAGGTRAAATACCCAGCAAGCATTTTGTATAAAAAAATKAATCCGCCTCAACAATATATAACTTATCTAGTATTATATTAGTTGAAATATTTACAGGAAGGGCGAGCAGTCCTCCGTTTACACGTCAATGCAATATCACACTTTTTTTAATCATACATTCCATGAGTGTGTGACTTTCTCATCAAACAGCGTCAAAATCATTAAACCATATACGAATGGACCTGCCAGCAGTAGAAACTTTTCGATAATTAAATATTTATTCTTGTGCATATATGCTATTAGTTTAAGTGCACATTTCCTTCATTCAATCCATTCTTATATAATGCAGGCGAGATAGTTCCTAGTGTCAGATTTATTGCTTTTCATCCACCGTTATAACGTTCCACTTGTCCATTTCCTTCCATGTCATAAGAATACTGTTTCGCAAGAATGTAAATAAGATACGAACTGTTTTGACATGAAAGATGATCGCGATTCGAATGAATATATGCTGGCATCCCAAATGTCGCTAACAATTGATCAAGTCAATTGCATCTTTTGTTGATGTGTCTGTTGTGAGAAAAGTAAATGGAAATTGAGAAACTTGTCACCCAGAGTGAACATGTATATTTTTTCTTGTATCTATTGGGTAAGGGACGAAGCTTTGACTCAATAAAAACATATATTTCCGTAAACACGCAGACTTCACTTTTGAGGTGCTAAAAAATGTTATCTGGGTTTGTTGAAGTTCGAGATGAAGAAGCAAGGCGTTCTACTCTGATGCTTATTAAAAACGTCACATTTGAAGAAAATTAAGGTTTCTCGCCTTTCTTACTTTATAAAATGGATCTTGCTATATGTGGTTCTAGACTATTTCAGGATTATATCCAAGAAATAGCAAGAGGAGAAAGTTGCAAAATTTACGCTTAAAATTGGATATTAAGCAAAGCAAAATGATGTGAGTCATTTTTGAAAGTTGTGCAATATAAATATTAATGTTGTGTTAATACAAAGAAGCGCTTCATTCATTTATGCTACCTGCTTATAAATTGTTCTCGACACAACACTTTGTAGCAGCGTGTTATGAAGCACATATTAAATTTAAGTCAAAGTGCCCAATAAATTAGCCATTTCCAGGCGTTCACTGCGTTTAAATCATATTTCCTTGTCACTGTAATAGTGGCCTGATCTTGTTAAAGAACAGTTGGCAATTTGGCGTATATGTTTATTGGTATCTTTCATTAACATCTAAAGTGGAAACACCGCTGTCAGATTGTATTACTTTATAATCAAATATACCTTTAAGTCTTGATACAAAATACCTTGAGGCTTCGGAAGTGATAACGCTTAATAACTGTAAATGTCTCCGGGCGCAATACTTATAAAGCCATATCGGGATTTTGCCATTAGCTCTATTCGCACATAAATATGTTTGCCTTCTTTAAAGTGGTGTTCTGTTTGCCCATTGTAAATCCTTTATTCAATAGTGTCCGCGTTTTGTAAGCTACGTTTAACAAGAACATAAATATAATTTGCTTTGCTGCAATACTATAATAACTATAATCTTATAGACCAGATTTCGGATCTTTATTTAAACGACTTGGACTTGAAAAGGAACTCAATAATTTGCTTACTTTCATATCGTACCTTTCACCGCATTGCAATTCAGATTTAACGCAGATTACGGTTTAACTATGCTTTATCACACAAACTGACTGATTGCAGCATATAAGGAATAGAACACAATCAGGTCTACCCATTACTAAATCGCCGATGGGATCAAGTTGAGTTACTTGTTTAATTATTTTTTGTTTTTAATGTTTAATTAATTACCCGAGTTTTCATTCGGATATAAATGTAGATTCGTTCGTAGTAAAATCGATTTGCCGTAAAATATTGGGGCACAATAAGTTCCGCGTTTATTTAATACTTATTTAAGATTGAACTCTGTAGATGAGTACTAATAGGCTCGAAACCGGTTCTCGGAAAATCTGAACAAACTAAAATTGTAAATCTTTGACAAAGTTTTATTGTTCTCCGATACCAACAAATTTATTCCGTTTCAATAAAAATAAATATATATATAAACAAAATGCAGAAAATTAATACTATAAAGAAGCATACAGTTAGTTGAGTCACATTTAAATATTTAAAACTACTATAGTTGTTCTTCCCTAGAATATAAGAACATAGATTTGAAACTCTTTAAGCCAAAAAATCCTACCGCGAACATTGAGGTAAAAGGAAAATAATGTTTATTATAACCTCGACGAGCAAGCCCTTGGCCGTAGATTTACACCATAAGTTGTGACAATTAATAATAAATTTTGATTTATTTCAGGTGAAGAATACAAAGTTGGCGACAGTTTGCCTCACAGCACAGGAAATTGCCTGGAGTGTATTTGCGGCCAGGGGGGCAAAATCACATGTTCCCCCCATCAGTGCGAACCAGCAGGCGATGAAATTAACGATTATCGCCAACCAGACTCCCGACAAGGCAACGATGGTTTTAAATAAATTCTGAACTGGGCGAATGATTTATCAATGATGTGTAAGAACCGAATATACTGGATGTAAAAAATGGCAAATTACTAAGCGATGAAAGACACCGATTAGCTGTGCAATTAATATGCATTTTCCTTTCAAAGCTGCACAGCTCGTAACGGTGTTTCTAATAATTGTGATCATTAAGCTCTTTCAAATTTTCCATTTTGGACGTATTTAAATTCACTACGTGGAAGCAGATATTTAGTCACCAGATTCTTCATCAGGAATTGATTTGGGGCATGATGACTTGGTCTGACTGATCAAAATGTTTTTTATATCTACAAAATCTTACTTGATTATTGGCCTGGCCTGAAATGCATTCATTTAAACTTCCGTATGTTTAAAGTGATCAAAAATTACCTACAGTATTGCGAATAAAAAGTTTGTTTTACTTTTCCATACCAATTAGTCGAATTCATCATTTGATGTTGCATTTTGTATTACATAATTGTTGGTAACACCATTCAAATAGATGTCTGCAAATTTTAAATTTTTGGGGAAGTTTGAATCATCTTCAAACTAATGGAACGATTGGACATTGCAAGTGACCCCCAATGTCTACACTCTGCAGTAGTCATATACTGTCAAAATTCATGTGTAATTCCTTAAAACAAGAATTTTTCAACATATATCGCTTAAAAGTCCATTTATAGCACAACTCCGAAAGTCATATTCCAGTTAAACTTTTAACAGTTCTATATTTTTGTTTGAAACTTGAACACGGACAATATGAAAATAATTGTAATATCTCTAGTGACAACTTAACTTACTGTTGTTCTTTCCATATCTTTCTCCTAGATTAAGCCAATGTAAGTAAATGTAAAATCAGTAATCTTAAAAAGTACAATAACTTTGCTGACCATAAGGTATAACACGTATTCATATCAAAGAAAATATCAAAAAGTTAATAGCATTTTAATTTGGTGAATTTGTTAAGAAGGAGCGAATATGAGATTTCGATGTGAGTATTCTCTTTCAAATCTGAAATTGCATCCTAGAATAGAATGAACATACTTTGGGAACCACTTTGAAAACATTAAAAGTACTGAAATAGTAATTTTATATTATACGTTTAGTAATAGATAATTATTGAACCAAGAAACCCATACGAGTACATAGTGAAGTAGTATTGGAACAAACCATTGAAACGCCATTAATATCCTTCAATGTTTTGTAGGAATCTGTTCTAACTTATTTTGGTTAATGACGTTGCGCGAAAAATTTGTCTAGAATAAATAATTACATTTTTTTTTGTTTTACCGGCCTTCATTCTCTTTAGTGCTGTAATTTATCTTAATTTCATACACATTTTAAACTTGGTGAAGTAACTGGTTCGCTTAGTTGAATTAACTAATTTCGGAAAATCCTAAGAAATAATTTTAAAATTTACACAAACAATTTACTAAATTCCTGTCCTCTTTTACGATACGATGAATTTTTTCCATGAATTACAAAGCATCTTTCAATGCAAGTTCTCTCTTCCCATGCTATATTGATATAATTGAAGGATATAATGAGCAAGTTCCATTTAGACCCAATTTAACAATAATCAAATAATATACCACTAACATATTTTACTAAGAGAAATAATGTGGCTTAATTAAACTTAAATATGTGCTAGTTAGCTAAGCATATTATCTTTCCATATTAGAACTTAGACGTTGTTAGTGATTAGGCGCCGTCTATAAGAACCATTTATAATGTTGTTGTTTTAATTTCATTTTATATGTTTACATTTTCGTTGGAATATAAAATTATATAAAAAAATCGTCTAGTTATTTTATTGCAAAAGTTAATATTGCATTTGCAATTATTACTATTAATTTTCTAGCAGAAAATTCCTGCAGAAGTCATTACTGCTTTGGCCAATTGCAGAGGTGAGTTTGAGCTTAATCCAAAAACTTTGTTAGATCGGCCAACTGTATAAGATTTTTAATTTCGTGTATTTTTCGGTCTCCTTTATTACTTACTGGAGCATCCACCTATCGTCATGTTCCCTGAGGTCTAACAGCGATCGATATTTCAGGCGTTTGAATCTATAGCGGATAAACGCAAAAAATCAGATTTAATTCATAATTTTTAGGCATATGATACACATTATTTTATGAAAGTTGAAGCTCAAAACAAAATATTTGAAACTCAATATCTAAGCATCTGGATGTTTTGCTGGACTTTTTTAATTATATTTTGAAAACGATAAATCCAAAATTTGAAGGCTGTCTTGAACTGACAACAAAAAATATAATTACAGAACAGCTTAGTAAATCTGATTTTTTTAAATGTAATTTTTAATTTAATTTAAAAAATGTTTAAATTATATTTTTTGTTTAAATGTGCGTTTCGACCCAAAGTTAAACGACTACTACCGACTAACGATTATTGGTTTTTAACGTAATACCTTAAATAACAGCGTTTCAGTCTTGTAATTGCGACGTAAAAAGTTGTTATTTTTGTAACCGTTTAACCTTAGCGTAAATGACGGACAACCAATGTTGGCGACTAAACGAGTTATTTTGCATTTTAAATGTTTTAGCAAGTTATTCTAACACCAGACCCATCGTTTCCATTTTCAGAACATGTTACTTTCAGTTTTGCAATGTTAAGATTTAATTTTTTAATAAACAAGATATTGTATTTTGAATGATTACCTATTATCCTAACAGGATTATTACCAAAGACGAACTGGAACGATTTTTCAAAAAAAAAACATGTGAGCGTACATCTACTACACAAATTGTTTCAGATGCTTTTACAATGATACTTCTAAGAAGGAGGTCCTTCAGAAGAGCTTTGAAGATATTTTCCATTTGGAAGTATAAAGTTTAGTCGTAAAAACATGTAAACATTTTATGATTCGTTTTAAATTGTCCATTGAATTTCACCAACTGCCTGTTTCATCCGCCTTTTCTTCGGAACTTCTGTTCTCCACCAAATCACCAACAAACAATTTTTCCGTGACTAATCGGTGTATGATAGGCTTTGAATTTCTGCAGACTTCCAGAATTAGCCATTGCGACCCTCAATAAAAAATATGTGAAAGACTGTTACATTGCTTTTTACAATGCGGTGTTGAATTTTTCAAAAGCATTTGTTCGCATGCAGAATCCTATGTATAAATTTACCGCTATGTTCAAATTTTCACATATTGATTTTATATTTTAAGGGTCGATAGTTAGCAACTTTAGTTTTTGAATTCCACTAATTTTAATTGTTGAATTGATGAATTTAATAGTAAAAATTTTTAGATCATGCTACTTTTGAAGTTGGATTACGAACCGTAGAATTGTTATTCTACGTCTTCACGTATTGTGTTTTCGTTCTCAAACTTCGCCAGAATAAAAAGTTTAATTAAAAATTGGGCCAAATGCAAAAATTGTTGTAAATTTTGGATTACAAATTTCTTTAATACATATTCTTAAAAAAATTAGCATCGTCATATTTTGCATGTTGTTGTTGCGACTTCTTCGCTTCGTTGTTCTTATGTTGGGCTTTTCTTATTTTGTAGCTCATAAAAACATGTAAAAACACAGGGTGTAACCGTAATGAACCTAAATTCAGTAAAAAATGCAAATCAGATACCGGATTTGTGTGTSAAAAWATACTTCAAACTTTTGTTGAATTATGCCCGTTCTCCTTATTTTTCMGGTGKATGTATATATTTGCATTATATTTAAACATTTAAATTCCTAAATCGTYTCCTTATGTGCCTTGCACWTCTGMCTATCGTGTGGTGCAAATTCAGCCCATCGACTTGCTTTAATCAAACAAGCATCACAGAATTTGGAACAAAATAAAATAAATATTTTGCAATTCTGAAGCTTATATCGGCCCATTTTGCACACTCTTTTTATAAAGAAATTTTTACAAACATTTGTTGCCACCAAAATATTTATTTGKAAAACGTTATCCAGTTGTTCGTTTCCATTCCAGTTCCTCAAACATTGCCCAAAAAAAGCAAGACATAAWTTCATAAATTTTATTACGCATAGCATTAAAATCTCTTCCTTCCTCAGCAAATTCTCCGTWCGACTTTTCCACTCAGTTTATTAAGTAAACCGCTTAACTGCTGCTCATTTACATTTAATGACATCCCGAAAACATGGAAAGTATGTTTTGAAGTAAACCGACGAGTAGACTCATACTTGGAGTCCCATTAGGGCAGTTAATTAATATTAATCCTACAGGAAGAGCTATACTTAGGCGATTAAAGTGTCTTGAAGCACTACCACATTTATGAAATGTTGCGAAAAATCAACTTTAAGTGTTGCTTAGAGTGAGTTCAGTTTAGTCTTCTGAAAAATAAGATAAGCAAGGTAGGTATTGTCAGTTTCATTTAACAAAATGTATATAAAGCTTTGCAAATTATATTTATTTTCCGGTTGATGGCGAACGAAGGTTTCCAAAAGACGTTTATTCTGCACTTGAGACAAACTATATCAACAGCATTTGAGAGAAACATAAGTAAACGTGATAAAAGGAAGTAAATAGCAGAACGACCCACTAGTAAACACAAAAAAAATATTTTTCAGCACTTCTTTAAATAAAGTATCGTTATAAGTTATTTTTCTTAAAGCTCAGTTTCAGTTAAACTGGTTAAAATCCGTTCCCTATAGACGACCAAACTAAGTAAATGTTTAATATACGGAAACTTTGGCCTCGGTTAGAATTTTCTTTGAGTCCTCCGAGAATATTGCTCTAAAATTTTTCGGTAAGAAGTTGCTTACACAGAATTTCGGTTGATTTCATTATGATATTTGCCTGGTCCAAATCAATAGGGACTTTAATAAAAAGAAAATAAAAGTTTTAATTAGATTTTGTTTCCAAATTTTCTACATAAACGGTTTTGAATGTACACAAGCGTTTGGCCGAAGTAGCATTAACGTGTAATGAGTTTTTTTATGTTTATGTTTTACATATAAAATCATGGAAAATAAACTAATCAGTTTCACAGCAGAAAAGGCATTCGATTTTCTATTTCAAGTTTCCAATAAGCGTTCATTGTTTATAAGATCGGATCAGTTTTAGTGTTTAATTTTCCAACGTTAAAATTTTTTGTTACTTTAAAGCAGCCATGCTCATATGAATCCAGTGCAAGGAAGACATTTAAAAAATAGGGACAATAAATTCTTCATATATGGAAGCAACCATTTCAAAATAATTTTGACTTGGCACAACTACATGTTTCCAAACTCTATCGTACTAGAAAATTTAAGACCAAAGTTAATATATTTAGGAATGTAATGGATACTTCCACAGAATGTTCACTTGTAATAAAACAGTTCGACATTAGATTCCATTAACATTCAAGAGAACTTTAACAAATTTTCTATTTAAAAGCTTAAGACCTTTTCGAAGCCATTTAATCAACTCAAAACCCCTCGAGTAACCGCTATCTGTATTCCTTCCTTGGTAAACTTTAACTTAAAGAGCCATTTAAAGCCACCACAACAGAATCTCAATTTTATTGAAAAGGGTTCTTTAACACCGTTT